GCTGCAGGGAGTGTTTTTGTGAGCAATCAGTGCAACCTCAAAAAGTTCAGACAACAGCTACAAAAGGCTCCCATCCTCTTCCCAAGCTATCGTGACCACTTCAGTGTTAAACTACAATAGCATGATGACCAAATTATTTTACCTTTTGTACAGATAGCAATAAACACATGCTTTGACATACAAAATCAGAGTTTAAACCTGGATATTCAGAAGAGAGACATAGGGGTTGTTGGGAATGCTAGATCAGAAAATGACACTCAGTAATGGCACTCATAATAGGAAAAGCTCTGACCTTTAACACTGGTTTATGCCATGGTGTTGCATACAGTTTTGTGTCCACATGTGTCCACCTGCTATTTGCTAAGCATTGCTCTTTTATAAATATTGACTTATTTGTAATAAAAGCTCTGTGGGGGTGATTCTATTGTTTCTTTTGTCTCACAGATTTGCTGAGGCTAGAAAGATACACAGTGAAGATGTGATAGAATTGAGATTCCAATATAGAGGTCTAGCTCCAATATATTTTTCTGCTTCTGCATAAAAATCAGACAGAAATCTTATTGTCTGAAAAGTTGGAAGATATTCCTGTCTTTTGACCCAGTGTTCTCAATGGCAGTAATAATTAGTAAAAATATAGGTACAAGAATATCCACTGAGGTATTATTTCTAATAGCACACATACAAAAAGTCCACCCAGGTGGCCATGGCCCAGGGAATTATTAAATTAGATATAACCATCATTATGGCAATGCCAAGCAGTGGGTTTAAACTGAGCGTGGAAGAGTGACCACTGGTGAGGACTGGAAGTGGATGAGAAAAAAGTCTTGCAGGATAGTATGTTTAATTTAAGACCATTATTGTCAAAAATGTTAAGGATAGTTAATCTAGTGTATTTGGAGAAAAGAAAAATAGTTGACAGCGTGTGAGCCATACAACTGCTACTTGTCATTGAGGTGCACAGTTACAGAGTGTGTGCATGCTCAGTGATACTTGAATCTTTTATCGTGGGTTTACCAAAAGCCTGTTACATACCAGGTACCAGGCACTGTGAAACTTAAATTCTAGTTAGAGAAGACAGAAAACCATCAAGGAAACAGATCAACATTTGAATTTCGATAGGCAAAGAGCCTGTGACTCTATAGTTAATGACAAAAATTTTAAGAGAATAAAAAGGAGGAGTCCATCATGAAAGAAAAGAGAGGCAGATTTGGGGAGGGCCTGTAGCCCTTCTGCTCTTAAAGGACAGGTCATGAGGAAAGAAGTTGGTAACCAAATTCAAGTTGATGGGACAAGGATATTGATTCTGTGATTCTCATAGCTTTTTCCGATAGTCATTTAAATAAAAATGTAGATTATCTTGTCTTTTTCATTACATGAGCCTTCTTACTAGGGAAATTTCACCATAGGCAGCAGTATATTAGTACTATTTCTTTTTATATTTATAAAGTGATGACTTCTCAAATAGAATTGGTTTGTTCCTTTGTATAAATTCATTGGTAAAATAGGAGTTAGGGTCAGATGTTTTACTTAGTTTTTTATTAATAATCTTGGTTTTATTATAAACCACAAACTTTACACTACTCAGATCTATTGACTTATAATGTAAGCTAGCAGAATTAGGTAGCACTTTGGGACAGGGTACCTATTTTATTCAACATCATGCTAATAAGTGGTTGCTTGTTTTTCTTAAGGACAATCATTAAGCACACTATAATGTTGAAATCTTCAAAATTAAGTTGAAACAGTAAAGAACCAACTGAACCTCCTCACTTTTTATGTTACCTGCAAACCTTGAGAGTTCAACCTATTTCTCCTGAGTGCCCTCCTTGTGTACCACTGAATGTGGTATGAACTCTGACCTCAGGAACTCTTAGATTAAGCAGAAAGATGACTAGTTAAAACATAGAAGACTAATAAACCATAAATGGGTTATTTATAAGCACTAAGGTATTGTGAGGAATCAGATCAGAGTCGTCATGGGTTACCTCTGGTAGATCATATTCTTCCTAACCTGAGAGTCCCCCAGAGGCAGGTAGCATTTCATGGTCTGTTCTGTACTGAAGCAGAGTGTCCACAGTACCTTCTGGGAATGGTAATTCTGTCCAGGCTAAACTACTGTGACCCAGTAACTCCTTTCCCCGAGCTCCTCTAAGCTATCCGAATGGTTACAAGGTGTTGGTGACGCCAGTTATGTGGCCACAGAGTTCTCATTTCCTATGCTTCGCTTTCTTCAGAGCCAGGCCAGGTAACAAGCAGTTACCTCTTGTTGGGACAATATACACAGGAAATAAAAGAACTTTTGAAAGTAAAACTAGATCCCCAAAATGTGTGTATATGTGTTGATGGATGGAGGTTTAAGAGTGAATGTATCATATCCCATCCTCCAAGCATATTTGAAGTTTCTAATCTGCTTCTCTTTCTGTAAGGTATGATGAAAAATCTAATGAAGATTAAAAATTTGTAAAAATTATTACAATAAAAGGCACATTACCGTGAGTCCTTATCAAAATCCTCTCTCTCACACTCTAAACACTTAATCTATCATCTGCTCCACTTTAAAAATGTTTTAAATTTTTTTATTTTAAAAAGAATAAAATGAAACAAAATAAAGCAGAATAAAGACAATCAAAACAAAACAGTGAAAATGATACAGGACTTCAAAGAAAATCAACAGTGGTTACTACATTTTGTTATTTTTGAAATAGCTGCCCATGCCATCAGATATAATAAAATCAAACAGAACAAAACAGAATACAACCAATATTACAAAACAATGAATATTATACAGGATGTTAAAGCAAGGGAATAGGGAATTAACAATGGCTACCACCTTCAGAAGGAGATCCTCACATATGTTACACTGCATATTGTTAACCTCTAAATAGATGTTCAGGCCACCTGCCTTAGGCTTGCAAAGTCAATCAAACAATAAAGGCATTAAGGTTTTTTTTTTGTGTGTGTACTTCAGTGGCTATCATCTCAGCCTGTGTTTCTCCAGATCAGCTGGCTGCTTATGGGGTGAAGAGACTCTGCTCTTCTTGTCTCCTAGCCTACGCAGGCAGCTAACAGAAAGGGGCTGGCTTCTTGTGTCTGCTCCCAGCTCACATGGCTGCCACTGGCCCATAGGAAGGGGTTGGTTTCTTGTTTCTCCTTTTGAAAGTCCTCTTTCATGAGTATCCTTGAGCTGTTGTGGCTCCTTCATGTCCTGAATAGATTCTGAGCACTGACCTTTCATGGTCATTTTGACTTTGGGGAAGAGCTAAAGTTGTGTGGTGCCCAGTCTGGTGAATTAGATGGATGAAGACACAGCATAATGTGTTTCACAAACCTGCCTTTCCACTGGCTGGCACTTGAAAGCAGTTTTACTGTATTTTTGAGCACATCTCACAAAGACACTCATGAAAGAGGACCTCTAGAACTGCTTCAGAAAGCAGCGACAGTGATGCGATGAGTGTGTCGGAAGTGACAGGAATACTTTGAGGGGGCTGACGGAGCTATGTCTTTCACTGGGGTAATTCTTTTTCTTTCTTTTTTGTCTTTTTGAGACAGGGTCTCACTACACAGTTCAGGCTGGCCTTGGGCTCACTTTGTAGCCCAAACTGGTCTCGAACTTGCAACGATCCTCTTGCCTCAGCCTTCCAAGTGCTGGGATTTACAAGAGTGCACCACCATGCCCAGCTCACTAGAGTAATTCTTAAAATTTAAGCATTTGCCCTATATTTTGATCACCTCATCTGTGCACGCACATGTGTGATCATAGTATAATACATGTGCAGAGTTTTCACCTATTATCATTCAGGAAAATATAAAAACTTAGAAGCCATTGGTTATATCTCCCATATTAGAGTTTTATAAAACCCCAGCAGACTTTAAAAAATAAAGTCAGTAAGTTCAACAGAGCTGTGCTCACTTTCTTGCCAGGGAAGGGCCAGCCGCTGTCCCACGCACTGAGGTCTTTGATTTGCATGCAATGGGGACTCTGTCAGGTTTTATTCTTCAGTGCTCAAAGGAGAACCACACACTGATCCACACACCTGGCCCTGCGGCATGTGCAGGACACCAGCCCGGCCACGCCGTGGACACCTGCTGACACAGACAGTGCGGGTTGCTTCCCTGCTTCTGCATACCTTCCAGGAGGAGCTCCGCTTTCACTGTTCCCCAAGCCTCAAAATAGATCTACCACTCCTTATTTCTTTGCTTTGCCAGACAGCAGAAGCAAATATTTTATTGCATATTTAGGAATTTTGTGATGCCAGCATGAGGCTGGGCACACAGTTCCTGCACGCACCATCTGAGCTCTAAAGCCTAAGTTTCCATCATGCGCAAGACAAGCTCGTCAGGGCATCTGGGTGCCTACCAGACTCTTCCTCTGCTCATGGCTTCTGTCTGTCTCACTGCCTTTTCTATATCCACATACTTCTTGGTGTTACACACAGATGACAGTGTTTCTCCAGAGCATTGGAGATTTCCTTTGTATAGCTCCTGACGTTTCTAAGACAGGATTCATGTACAAAACACAAATGCGGTTAGCACCTCTGATAATTTGATTTATAGAACTTACGATCATCATTACAGTTGAGAGTCATGTCTGTGTAAAACAGATTCAGGGACTCATGCTCTATTCTATTTGCCTAACTGCATTAACCATCAGACTTCGCCTATTAGAAAAGGCTGCTTCATTCTTTTTCTTTTCTGTCTTCTTTTGTGGCACTGAGAATTGAGTTCAAGGCCTTAGCACTGAGCTGTACTGGCCTGTATCCCTCATTCTTTTTAGATTTTGAAACAGGGTCTCTGTTAGTCATTAAGATGCTCCAGAGTAGGCTCAAATTGGGGATCATCCTACCTCAGCCTTTCAGAGTGCAAAGAATACAAGTGTGCAAAACACCTTCCAGTTTCTAATCTTTCAAAACCCTAAAGCAAAATGAACAGAAAACAGAGCACACAAAACATTGACCATCATGCTGACCTCTCCTTCTCTCTTTTTGGTTCCTGTGCTCCAGGTAGGAGAGTTCAGGGCCCACGCTGCTGAGTGGACAGCCAACGTCACGGCTGAGTTCAAAGAAACCCGCAGGCGGCTGAGCGTGGAGATCTATGACAAGTTCCAGCGCGCCACTTCCATCAAGAGGAAGCTGTCCGCAGAGCTGGCGGGGAACCACAACCAGGAGCTGACCCCGTGCAGGAGGACCCTGTCGGTGAACCACCTGACCAGCGAGAGGGAAGTCCTGCCTCCCTTACTGAAGACGGAGAGCATCTACCTGAATGGCTTGACGCCTCACTGTGCGAGCGAAGAGATCGCAGTGATTGAGAACATGAAGTAGCCCTGTGTTCGAAAGACCCCTAGCCCTAGCCCTAGTGAGGACTTCTCCACGCGCTTTATGACTGTTGCTGGTAGCCGTTTAAACATTGTGCATGAGCTCCAAAGGGAAGCCCATAGATACACCCATCATGGTCATCGCCATCAAGGGAATCGGAATCGTGAGCCGGCCCTCTCTCTCTGGGGTTGCTTGTGAGACGCTCTACTTCCTGGGACCAGTGGAAGGACCAGCGAGGTCTGATGCCTTTCTGTGCCCAGGCTGTTTTCCTCCCCCTCCTCCCTAACATGCCAGAAGGCCTCAGAGGGAATTAGACTCGCTGTGGTAATGATGTAGCTTGGAAGGATCAGTCCCCAACTTTTCAGGGTCCACCTAACTGAGCCTAGATATGGACCATTTCTGGATGACAACATTTCTCTTTGTAAATGGCAAGAAATTCTTATGCAGCCTTTTACCTAAGAAATTTTCTGTCAGTGCCTTATCTTATGAAGAAACAGAACCTCTCTAGCTAATGTGTGGTTCCCCTGCCCACCCCCTGTCCCTCGGCCCCATGTCCACTCCTTTAGTCCTCTCCCGAGCTCTCGAGGTCCAGGCTGACTACCATCCCTTGCTGGACACAGTATGTCAAAGGACTGAATCGATGGTCCCCGAAGAAGGGATAGATGCCAAACTAGAAGGACAATGAAGCAGCACTCAGAAACTAGTGATAAAGGCACTGCAGAGAAAAGAGGTGCAAAGGTGGCCCCTCTGAGTATTTATTTGACTCAGGTACCAGCGGTACATGTGTATGGTGTAATTATTACCAAGCCGGTAACCTTGGCTGCCCAAAGACTGCCCCATTTCTCCTGGCAGTGTTCGGAATCTTATCATTTATTAATAACTATACATTTTTAAAAGTACAAGAAAGTTCATAAATTTATATATATATATATATATATATATGATCTGATGGAAGAAGACTGTTAACAAATGGGCATTATGAGAGGGAATCTCAAACAGCTGGTATGAATTCATTCTCATGAAAAGAAAATAGCAAAGCTACGTGTCACAAGGATTTGCTAATAAACATTATACTGCCACCTTCTTTTGCTTTCTGATGTCTGAAAGGCTATGATTTTCTTTTCCTGAGTGACTTTTGCCAAATGAAGGGGAAGCCCTCGGGGCGGAGGGACAGTCCCAGCCTCCTGGGGTCACTTCGAGTTGTGACAAGGTGTGACACAAGCCGAAGCTGGGATCACTGTGATTTTGCACATGGAAAAAATACAGATTGCAGGCATAATTCATTTCTGGCATTAGAGAAAATGCGGTCATAGCACAATTTAAATCTTGAGTCTTTTTTTAAGATGGAAAAGACTGATAATCCTTTTTAGTTTAATATTATATCTTGTAATATAATATAATCTTGTCCCCAAGATCCGGAGAAAATTCAGTAAATGCACCCGGTATAATGTTACCCTTTCCCTTTATTTTCCTACTTAGGTCTGCTGTACATGGATAATTTTTAAAATGCAGAAGGAAAATGATTTCTCTAAATACAATTACAAAACAGAGTTCTTTTACTTTTTTTTGAGAGCTGAAATAGGAATATTTGAAGAAGTGGCATTCAGAGGAGGGTCTTAAAAAAATAAACCCAGAATCTTTAAAAACAAATCAATATATGTTTATTTTCCCAAATTTAAATTTAAGATAAAAATGTAAATAGTTAACTTGTTGAAGGTACTTTTATAAATCAAAAAATAATGCTAACCAAAATTTTAGAATGTCAGGCTCTTTTAGAAAGAAAGCTACCCCACTTCCTTAATAACTGTCTTGAAAGTTCATATGGTGGAATGCACCATTTATAAACTGTGAATTGTATCGATGAATAAAGTTTGTAATTAAAGTCAGCATTTTCTGAGTGTCCTGCTTGCTGCTGAGAATTTAGATCTGATTCTAGCTAAGTAGAGCTACAGGTTGCCACATTTTCACACTGAAATTTTTGTGGCTCTTTCATTCAAAATATTCAAGAAATATTTTTGATGTAGTAATAATACTCTTAGCAAATACACACAAAGTATTCTTTCTTTGGAGACTATTTATCAAAGGTAAATACGCTGAAATTCATGTGTGAAATACAATTCTTGAAATAACATATAAGCTCCAGATTGTTTCCACCACACTATGGTATTTTTATATCGTATTTTATCATTGTTAGACCTTGACATATCACTGCAGTAGCCCGAATGCTGAACATGAGCAGCTAATTATTTTTTATTAGAAAAATAATGAAGCCTCCTAGTAGTCTAAAAGCTTAAAGCAGGCAGTTGCCATCCAGTCTTCTAGGCCTTATATGTCAAACATATGAATTATTAATCTTATCTGTATCCCACATAAATGTGTTGATTCTTTCTTAAACAATTCAGTACTCAGTAAAGATCTGAACACTTGGCCCAGCATACCCTCACTCATGTATTGCTTCAGTTATATTCTCAGGCTTTGTTTACTCTTATGGGAAAAATATTGGTAATGATATTGACATAGCTTTGAATTTTCTAGTGAGTTTATTTTTCCATCAGCCACTTGAAGAGTAACTAGCTTTGCCCTGAACAAAAACTAAATATTAAGCCCAGACAGACTTAGGAATACCCTGATCGGTGTTCTTAACAATGGATCCTAGGTAATGCTCTTTATCCAACCTTGAACTACTAAAGGTAAAAATGGTTCTTCTGGATTTCCTTCATTATTTTGCAAAGATATGTATATTTTCTTACACAGTTTATGCCACATATATTTTTTCCCAGTAATATCTCACCCATTCAATGAAGGAAAAAGAAATTTCTGAAGCCAAAAGCAAACTGAAGAGTACGCATCTTAGTCTTCCAAAAACAAAGAAAAAAAGGGAAAAAAAGCACAGTAAAGGAAAAAAGCATTGCATAGAGCTTTCCCCCCTTAAATTCCACAAAACGTGACATATAAGAGATATCAAATCCTGTATATGTCAAATAAGGTTTAATTCTTTGATTCTTGAGTCTGAAAATCCCAAAGACTAAAGGAAACTTCAGATGGAAAACCCAAACCAAATTTAGACACTCTGAAGACTTGAGATTCCATTTATGCCTAAGAGCTAAAGGTCTAGATGAGTTTTTGTGTCTTTCTTATTTCTTTATAGATGTTATGCTGTTCTCATAAAATCATAAATTATTTGTGGTTTGCATTTCTTAGCAAAGTGTGAGTATAAATTTGTTGCTGTGTAAAGATGTCTCTATTTGAATCTCATAACTATTAAAGTTAATATATGATTTGTTTTGCTTTAGCGTGAGTTTACTGAAATGTTCTTGTATCATAAAACTTCCTGGCTTTGCATATGTTCCTGTGTCAGCTCTAGGGAACCTGGAGTGATTCAGTTATTTTCCATAGGAAGTCTTGAGAGTAACGTATGATCTGTAATTTATAAGGGTAAAGTGCCAAAGCCCTGCTGGCTTCCTTCTTCCCATCTCCACCTCAAAGATTCACATCTCTTTCATTTCATTATGGTACCCACCTCTAACTCACCACTGCTTCCTCAAAGATAAAGGCTTCTTCCAAGAAACAGGAGTTTTGATTGTGGTCTTTTATTTTGACTCAATGTTCTTGGGTCACTAAGACTCAGCTTTTGCTAATTTTAATATTCATAAAACCATTTACTAGTGTCCTAGTGTGAACTTCATAAACTATTTTCACTCTGTTGGATATGCTTCAATTTGTAGCAATTTTTGTTCTTTTGATTTAGTGTTTTTTCTGTCCAAGTTCTGTACATTCACCCAGATCTCACTAACCAGTCTGTATTCTGCTTACTTTGAACTCTTACACCTGAACTTCTCTCGGGGGCCAGACCCATATAGCTAACTCTGCTAGGATCCCTGCACTTCTTCTGGGTACCTTAATTTACCTGGCATGCTCATCAGCATTCCCTGAACAGGACCACCAGTGCCATGTATTTCAGAGAATGTGCCACCAGCTCTTTGGCTAAGAAAATAATCCTTCTTTGCCTTTTTTTTTTCCTCCTTCACCTCCATGCCCACTTGCCACCAAGTCTTTTGACTTGTAGCCTAAATAAGTTTTGAAATTGTGCCCACCCATCACCGTAATCTACATCATCAACATCTTCCCTCTCCTTTGTACTAATTACCTTTGTATCACTCTCTCTTCCTGTCATTGAAGGTGCTGTGTTTAATATGCAACTCTGATCATGTCATTCTGCAGTTTAGAACTGTTATCTGTCTTTTATTATAGTAGAAAGAAAACTTGAATTCTTTAAATGGTCCACAAGGTCATTTTTTGGTTTGTATTTTTTCTTTTCTTTTCTTTCTTTTTTTCAGACTTGAATGGCTTTTATGAAGCACTTCATCCATCAACAGGAGAATAAACATTTCTTTCCAGTACATAGAGAATATCGGAACAACATAGTCCATATTCTGAACAATAAAACAAGGCTCAAAAAACTGGAAAATATTCAAGTCATACAGAGCTTGTTTTCTTCTTTTGGTATAACATGTGGAATCTTCTTCAAAGTCACCATGTAGCAGCTTCTCTCTCTCTCTGTAGCTGTCTTGGTTACTTTTCTCTCATTGCTGGGACAAAGTACCTACCACTCAAAATTAAGGAAAGCAAGGTTTATTTAGCTTACAGTTTGTAGAGATTTCAATTTATAATCAGCTAGCTGCAAGGCAGGGTAGCACAGCACTGGGGCAACACTTCAAGGCAGCAGCCAGAGCAAAAGGATAAAGGTATAGCACTTACAAAATCTTCTTGCCTTCCTCCCACAGGAGGAGAATATTTACAAAGTAAGAACCCGGGTTCCCTGCTGAGTCTCTTGGTTAAGCTTCTAAACTTCTCATATTGATACAGTGTATCAACCATAACAGTCTTTCCACTGGATCTCTGTCTTGCATGTTGAAGTTATGCAGATGCTGTTCTCTTTGCCCAGAACAGTCACTCTTGGCCCCCAACTTTTTTTCATCTCACACAGAGTCATCTTTCAGAACTCTTACCAAGTATCATTTTCTCTGATACACCTGCCTTTCCTGACACCACAGAAAGTTTTCTAATATTCTCAGTAGAATTCCATTCTTTTCATCCAGTTTATGATTAGGTATTCATCACTATTTTTATTTATTATTTACATCACTAAAATATAATCTGTTTTAGCTTACTATTTTATTCCCAGATACTAACAAATACACATAGTAAGGTGCTCAAAAATACAAGAAAAAGAAATTAAGATTAAAAACAAGAATTTAACTATTGTAACTCTTTTGCCTTGTACATAATGTCCCAGATTTCCTCAACTCCACAATTATTAATTTTCACTCTTCTAGTGACTTACCAATTTGACACAAATAGCATTTTTCCTCTATGAACTTGCCAGCTCCTAATTATGCACATTTATAAAACTAATTCTTTAGCTAGAGAGACTTGCAGTTACACTTATCAACAAGGGTTTAACTTCCAAATGTTGACTCACACTAGATGCTATCAGAGTTTTTCAATTATGATTTAACTTTGAAAATTTATTTGAAGTGAATTTCAAAACATATGTGTTAATCCTCATAAATGAGTATTTTTAGTAGTACAAAGCCAAATGCACATTTACTATCCTTGCCAAAAATATTCAGCTTTTTCATGCTTAAATAACTTTACAGGCAGTCTGGGAAGAAATTCATTACTTTGCATATTTGAACTATATTTGGGAGGGAACATTAGTCACATAGTATAATTTTAAAAATTAACTCACAGAATAAATACTATTTTTCAACAGTTCATGCCTGAATTTTGTAGGTGATATGCTTTTCCATACCATACAATTAACAGAAAATAAAATGAAGATGACTTTATCATACTATCTAATCTGTTTAAAAAACGCTTCAGACACCTTCAAATATTATTAACCTTAGACTGTATGTGTCTGGAGTTGTGTTTAATTTTTTTAAAAGCATCACTAAGTGCTCTTGTCATTTCCAGACCCAAATTTTGTCACTGATCAAGTATTTCGCAGCAAGAAAGACAGACTATTAAAATATCATCAAGTCATCTATAAGTCACAGCCTACATAAATATCCAGAAAGTGTAATAATCCAAGGTCTACAAATGTCCAAGCAGATGTGGCAAGTGTGTGAATCTCTACAATGATTTCACTGTGTGTGCAAATTAGTTCTTTTGTTTCTGGCTCACTAAGTCAACAATGATCAAGAGCCCTTAGTATGTAGGTCACTGGAAATACTAAACCAAGTGAATGGAGGGGAGGGAGCGAGCCATGGATAAGACAAAAATGAAGTAAGTAAACTACAAGGTGATCGGTATTACAAAGAGATAGGTGAGGAAGCAGCAGCACTGCTCCGAGCACCCTGAAGAAGGAGACGCTATTGGGGAGCATTGGAAAAGGCTTTCCGCACGAGCTCTGGTCTGAGCTAAGTCTTGGAAGATGTGTAGAATTTACTGCTTAAAGTGGACAAACAAAGGCCTGGCTTGGTTAAACACTGCGGTGGTGTTTGTGTGAGATGAACTGGAGTGGGGTGAGTGGGGTGTGGTACCTTAAACGGTGGAAGAATACAAGGCGTGCCTGCAGCAGGCCCCAAGGCAGCCTCCACCCCACTTACACTCCAAGCAGTTTTTCTTTTGTTTTACAACATCCGTCTGCCTCACTTTCCCTAAATGTAAAGCAAAGACAGCAAGAGTTTCAGTTCTTAGGGTTATTCTGAGATTCAAATGAACAAACACAAGCAGAGGTAGGATGATCGCAAGCTCAAGGATAGCCTCGGAGACAGAGGGAGCTCATATCTTGAAACGAACATTCTACAAAGAGCGGGGAGCACAGCTCTGTGCTCAGCTTCCAGTGTCTCCCATACACCCCAAGAATCTGCTTTTGTTAAGTACTCCAAAGCAAAGAACTTGAAACAGACCTTTGTTATCTTACAAGGAGCCTAAGGTCAGGAGTCTGGTAAGGATGTAGCGGGATGGCCTGGTTCCCAGTCTCTCGTGGGGTTATAGTTGAGCTCAGGCCGTGGCTGTGATCAGGAGGCCCCTTGCCTGGGAGCACTACTGTGCAGTGCAGCTGTCTGCTCATGTGGCTGCCAGCAGCTACCAAATGCTGCATCATGTGCCCCCCTCCAGCCTCCCCTAGTGTCACCCCATCCCAGTGTTCCCCTGGTGTGGCAGCCGGCTTCCCACCAAGTGAGTGATCACAAGACAAGGGCCAACAAGAAGCCACAGGCTTTTTTTGGTGTAGTTACCAAGGCTCTGTGTAGTTATTTTCACTTAAATTCCATTCATTAAAACTGAACCACCGGGTCAGGCTCTTGCCCAAAGAAGAGGAAGTAGATGGCGCCCTGTGAATGGATCTGCGGACCCGGTACTCTCCACACAACCAGTCAGTCTTTACTCCACCTGCTACAAGCCCACAGCTCACTTCAGTTGAAAGTTCAAGTTTTTGATAATATAAAGTAACTTCTTAGCTAACTCATAATGTATCCTACTCGCCTTTAAAATGGTAATCTTGCAAAAGCAAAGGAGCACTAGATAGTAGAGAGAATGCATTCTGTCCTGCTGAATTTTTAAGTGTGCCTTTACTGCACACCACATAGACATTTTACCACTGGAAAATGTTCACATCTGGGTGTTTTTAATGAGATCTGAAATTCCTTTCTGTCTAGTATGAAAACAAGTGTCATGCTATGACTGTATGAGAACTGGGAGACACTGACATGTACCTTCACCACAAACTCAGAAAAATCTACCTGAGACCCAGATATTCTAACATTCTAAGTCAGTCCTTTTCTGCCACATCCAGGTGAGCATGAGACTCTTAGCAAGGAGAACACCAAGAACCATTTGCTTCATCTTCACGTGAGTTTGCTCACAGGAAAGCAAACCAAAGCAATGATGGCAAAAATGGCCAAATTTGCCAGACACAGTGCCCTCTGTTGCATGCTTGCAGGGTAAAGGACCTGGGCTATTTACTTCACAACTCTTTGAGGTAATTAAGGAGTGATATGCGAGAATGGGGGTAGCTTAGTAAATGTTGCATATCAAAGCAAGTCATAACTTGATAGGATCAGAAAGAAGCACTCATGTCATATAGAATTTACACATTTCTAAAATTTTGCAGTTATTTTGAACCCAAGGCCTGTGGTATGCTAAACACATGCTCTACCACTGAGCCATCTCCTCATCCTTCTGTATTTTTATTTGACAACCCATAAATTCATCACCCCTGTTTTCTGGTGTATCTGAGAGACCACATCACACATATGACTTAAACAGATG